AGAACATTTAAACATAATTTGTTTTTACTGATTTTTTTTTTTTTTTTAAACAATTCAGCACTAGGTGTATCCCCATATGGAACAATTCAGCACCACTAGGGTTAATTATCATGGGAACATACACAAATAACCATTTTTCAAAATCAAAATTGAAGTAAAAAAATAGTACCTTGATTCATAAAATGTCTAACTATGGTGAGCATTCCATTGTGATATAAAATTCAAAAAGATTGATAAAACATAGTTATACATATAACAAATCTCACTCTCATGATTTTACAAATTCTGAAAGATCATCACAAAACTTTACTCATTCGTCCCCCTGAAGACAACATTTGAACTCTTCCAATTCAAAGGTTGGAATAGTTCATTATAAAATTTCAGGGGGGAATGAGTTAAGCTTTATATCATGTTAATATTTCAGTTCATATTCTATCAGCTTGATTTTAAGGGCAGTGCGACTCCCTGAGGGTATCTAACTGTCCCCTACTTTATTTATTGGCTATTCCGTCTTTTCGTATTGCAAAGTTATCTGCACTTGTGAGCAGGTATTGATTGTTACGTCATTTGTTTGTGAGAGTAACGTCATCAATTTTTGAGAAAACAACGTAATTTTCTCACACAAGCCAATGACGTAACAATCAATACCTGCTCACAAGAGAAGATAACTCTGCAATACGCAAAGACGCAATACAAACATATTCATTATTTGATGAATATAATAAATAGTTTCAGTCTTTACCCAAGTGCTACCACAAAATAAACATTAAATCTATACAATTATTTAACAACCCTGTTAAGTGGTCTAAAACAAGTTAGTCCCTGATTCCAGGAGTCAAACTCCACCCACCAGCGCACAGGGATATAAACACCTGTCAATCAAACCCAGCCTTGTCTGGTGTTTACATTTTAATGTAATGACACCATGATATCTTTTATTCACCAATCAAATAAAAAATAAATAGATAAACAGATAAACAAATAATTTTCAATTTATCTCAGGAATATTTCTGCACTGGTCCCATAGAATCACATATTTTGTTAAATGTATTGAGACAGAAATTACACATATATATATGAATAAACAAGAAAAAAAAGGAGAAAAAAAACGTGTTTGTGATGGTAAAGATTATATATATAAATGTACACAAATAAAAATATAAAAAGAAGCAAAGAGATCAGAGCGCCGTAGTGCGGCCAGTGTTTTTGTTACCTAAATTAAACAACAGCCTGCTCCTTTATGAATTGGGAAATATAACATTATTTTTATTGAAATTGGGAACATATTCTTTATTTTTTGGTCATTTTGGAAAAATATGGCACTTTTTAGCTAGGGGAAACAGCCTGTATTCGGCTGTAAAACTGAGCAAAACAAAATTCCTGAGTGCTTTCACCTTTTTTAACTTTACAATTGAAAGGCGTGACCATGAAAGCACTGAACATTAAAATTAAACAAGGTGAAAGTGCTATGGAAATTTTTATCTCTTTGTGTTGCTATTTTTTTTCATACTGTATATATATTCCATATTATACTGGTGATAAGCCCAGGGGGACCATGTATGAAAATGAGTCGAAAGTAGGGGGTGTTCCGACACATCCTGCTGGTCAGCTAACGTATATTGCAATACCTACATTAGAAAAAAAAATTCATGATGCTGATGAACTTGAAGAATTGGGGATGCGCTTACTACCAGGCATCCACCCTATGTACGGAAAGTAAGGAAAAGTGAGGGGTGGTCTTATTACCAGACATGGGCTTATCACTAGTAAAATGCGGTATATATATTATATATATATGGGGCAAAGAAGTAATTCCAACAGTGTGGACAAGTTTAGGTTGTCAAATTTTCGGAGCAATCCGCTCCTTTATCAAGACACAGTGAAACAGAACAGTTACATGTACATATACATCATATTACAAGATGATAGAACTGATATACTATAATTGAAAATATAGCTATTATATAATAGCTATGTGAGCATACCATTGTGAGCATACCATATATATTATATATATATATATATATATACATGTATGCATGGTCCAATTTACCATCTTATCTATTTTTATCACATAATGTAGTGTGTTATCCAGTGAATATTAACCCATGTAATATGACCTATCAGCCCTGTGATTGGTTGTAAGTTCCAATTGTTTCAATTCTGACGTCACGCCTAGAACAAGTACATGACGTCACAGACTTACACACTGGAGTCTAAATGGCCGCTTTTTACACTTCGAGGTTGCATGAAAATTGTCATTTTACACGAATAAATGCCACAAATCTTGTTTATGTGATAAAAAGTATCTTACACTCCTTTTCATTTCATATGAAATTTATGAAACTCATCACAAATTTATCATTTTAGCTTGCCAGAGGCTCGCTAACTTGAAAAATTCCAAGACTTGTTTCATAAATCTCGTATGAAATGGAAACTCATGTAAGATCCTATATATCTATTTATGTAATATTTATATGATTTTGAATGAATCTGTTTGTAGGGATAATTTTACTACTGTTATAATATATAAATTCATATAAGCACTGTATATATGTGATATCAAAGTACAAATAAAATCTGAATAAAATGTTTCATATATCACACTTAAAATCCATTGAGTAATCCACTAATTCTATTCGTTGCATGGTACATGTAAATTGTAAGTAAGTACATCATTACATTTCGTTGAATAGTCCATAAAACTCATCAGCCTGCCTTTGATGAAATCTGAGTCATATAATGTAACAAAATTTAATATTTTCAAGTTGTAACACATTAAAGGGAAACAACTCTCCCACAAAAGGAACATTTGTACCAGGATATGCCTAATTATTGTTTCTAAACTCTGGATCAGTTCTTCGTGTCAATGTTTAATCATACATAAACTTATTTAAGCTTTGTTGCTTTTATTTATTATACAACAAAAAATGAAGACACATTTGAACTTTTCCAATTCAAATGTGTTCATTATGAAATTTCAATGGGTGATTTCTACTGCTGCCAATCATTTTGAACTATCTAAAAATTCTAAATTCTATTGGGAAAAAAATGATTTTTTTTCAATATACCTGATTTGATATCTCCCTTAAAATAAGATATCTGAATATGAAATTAATTTAACAAATAAATATTTACTTTCGTATTAACAGTGTATATATATTATCACGATAATTGATAAGGTAAGGAAGGCCAGATTAAATGATAAAAGCGTTAAGTTCACAGGAGTTCTCTGGTTAAGAACCTGTCTTAAAGATAAACTCTATTTGTATGAAACCAGTTTTTACATTTGCCCAGATGTCTTAATGTAGGAGGAAACCAGAGTACCTAGACAAAAGCCACATGTCAGGCAGGTGACTCATATCTTTACACGTCCGATCACAGAATCGAACCCTGGTCGCCTAGGACAAAGGCAAGTGTGTTATCCACTGTACCACCCGACCACCCCAAACTAAGAACTTGTCTTAATACTGTAAGTGAACTAATTTTAGGTGATTTTTAATTTTAGTGGCTTTCCCACTACATATTGTCTGCTCTAATTTATGTTCATCGCTAAAATTAAATCATTTAGCACAGGTTATCCAAACCATAAAATTCAAGACTGGACAGGACGATACTTGATAACTTACCTTCACACATACATGTATGTATATTTCGTTCTTACGTAAATACACGATTTACCTGGCTTGCCGTTACTATATACCTGCTGTTAACCCCGTATATATTATAGAAGTCTTTTGAGAGATGATTTACCTGGCTTGCTGTTCCTATATACCTGCTGTTAACCCCGATTATATTATAGAAGTCTTTTGAGAGACGATTTACCTGGCTTGCTGTTCCTATATACCTGCTGTTAACTCCATATATATCATAGAAGTCTTTTGAGAGACGATTTAACTGGCTTGCTGTTCCTATATACCGCCTGTTAACCCCGTATATATTATAGAAGTCTTTTGAGAGACGATTTACCTAGCTTGCTGTTCCTATATACCTGCTGTTAACCCCGATTATATTATAGAAGTCTTTTGAGAGACCGACATTTGCACTAATTCATTAAATTAGGTACACATTTCTACTAACTTAAGGGTGTGCCAATGTGTTCCTACCCTTTTATTCCACTAAAGTTTGAGTGTGCGAATATAAGTCTGCTTAAAGTAGATACATGTCACAGATCAATGTAGATAGCATAGATATGTGGAATATATGTAAATGGAAGGAATGCTGAAGGAGGATTACTTCCAAAGGTGCCATTATGTACAACAGGGTACTCTTATGTATAACTGGGTACGCTATAGGAGTGCAGTTATAAAATGACCTCTAAAATGAGGGGATATCACTGAATAAATACAGTAAATACAGTGGAAACCCTATATCCAGCTACCTACGTGATAATTCAGTCATATTAGTGATAACTTAGTGACCTTAGTGATAATTCAATTACTTTAAAGATAATTCAGTCACCTCGGAGATAACCCAGTCACCTTCGTGAAAATTCAGTTTCTTTAAAGGTAATCCAGCCTCCTTATTGATAATTCAGTCATCTTGGAGATGATTCGGTGACCATAGTGAATATTCAGTTACTGTAAATATAATTCAGTCACGTTAGAGAGAAACCAGTCACCTGCATTATATGATAATCCAAATACATTTGTTCCAACAGAACAATAGAAACTAGGGCTGAACTCGGAGACATTTGTTGACTTGACTGGATGGTAAGACACCCAGATTAATGGTATCGAATTGATTCGGCAATAAGATTAGTAGTGACTGAAGAGTGGGACTACCAGATTAATGGTGACTATATGGTGGGACAACCAGATTAATGGTGACTATAGGGTGGGACAACTAGGTTTGTGACTAGATAGTGGGACAACCTGATAAGTGGTGACTATATATATGGTGGGACAACCAGATTAGTGGTGACTAGATTGTGGGACAACCAGATTATAGGTGACTAGATTGTGGAACAACCAGATTAGTGGTGACTATAGATGGTGGGACAACCAGATTAGTGGTGACTATATATTTGTTGGGACAACCAGATTTGTGGTGACTAGATTGTGGGACAACCAGATTAGTGGTGACTGAATAGTGGGACTACCATATTTGTGGGGACTGAATAGTGGGACTACCATATTTGTGGGGACTGAATAGTGGGACTACCAGATTAGTGGTACTAGATGGTGGGAAAACTAGATTAGTGGTACTTGACGGTGGGAAAACCAGATTAGTGGTACTAGACGATGGGAAAACCAGATTAGTGGTACTAGATGGTGGGAAAACCAGATTAGTGGTACTAGACGGTGGGACAACCAGATTAGTGGTGACTATATATATGTTGGGACAACCAGATTTGTGGTGACTAGATTGTGGGACAACCAGATTAGTGATGACTGAATGTTAGGACAACCAGATTTGTGGTGACAAGATTGTGGGACAACCAGATTAGTGGTGACTGAATAGTGGGACTACCATATTTGTGGTGACTGAATAGTGGGACTACCAGATTAGTGGTACTAGATGGTGGGAAAACCAGAATAGTGGTACTAGATGGTGGGAAAACCAGAATAGTGGTAATAGACAGTGGGAAAACCAGATTAGTGGTACTAGACGGTGGGAAAACCAGATTAGTGGTAGTTCGAAGGTGGGACAACAGGATTAATGGTGACTGAATGTTGGGAGAACCAGGTTAATGGTGGCTGGATCAAGACTGGTCAGTAATTTTTCTTTTATCAAATAATAAATTTGATGTTTGACCCAAAACAGGAATGTTTGTAAATGTATCATGTTCTTAAAGGTGAAATTAGGATGACTCTTCAAGGTTGTGTGACTGAAACCATCCCCACACAATATCTGCCATTTCATCACTGGCCTTGATCACAAATGCGTGTTCATAACCCCGATTACACAGACGAATGTCGCATTTCAATTTCCTGTCACGCACATTGTAGAAATACTCGCGTGGACACCAAGAATCGGACTGGCCATAGTATAAACAAAGCTTGTCTGCATGTCGACTGACTAGATCCGCGTCAAGTTTATCAACTTGTTGCATCTCCTCGTTTGCCAGGAACAGAACATTTGCTAAACAGGAAGGTGTGAAGATTTCCATTGTTGCATTATAAATACATTCAGGGATATTATTACTGGTTTTGTTTGCACCGAAATGCCACAAAACAAGGCGATATTTAACGCGAGGAGACAGGAAGGATATACTGTGAGCAGCTCCAACTGCCAACCAGCGCAGCCACCGCAGCAATGGCGTGGCCACCGTGCCGTTTGGTGAAGCAGCCATCCGTTCTATTGTCGGGAAAAGAAGGAAACATCGGAAAACTCGTCTTGGGGAGAGGGCATCAAGCATCTTGAGAATCATGTAGCAACCAATTGAGTGACCAAGCAATATCAATCTAACATCTTCTGGAACGTGTTTATTGATAAACTCAATCTTGTTGTTGATTTGTCCCTTCAACGTAAATGGTTCATCTGCATGTTGACCTGCGAGACAAAATAAATGGCCTTGATCATACATGTTTCATGACCTCAGTCTAGTAAATATGGTTAATTTGTGTGTAAGGAAATGCAGAGTTACAATAATAAAGCACCTGATCTCTGGACCAAAGTTTTCATTCAATTTAAATATCATACCATTACAATATAAATCCAACAAGGTTTGAATATTTCCTATATTTCCATGCATGAAGTGTACTTAATTCTAGAAATACTATATGAATGCAAGGAATATGATGTTTGAAACTGTAGCCTATTTGGGCCCAGCCTTCAGGTTTCAAGGGTAAGGGCCAATGTTATATTGGAGACTAGTACTTTAGTCATTGGACTAGTTATAGTGAAGATTTTGGATTAACAAACTTTGGATTAGTGAAAAATTTTGATAAACAAACCTTGGATTAGTGAAAATTTTTGATTATAACAAACCTTGGATTAGTGAAAGTTTTGTATTACAGAACTTTGGATTAGTGAAGATTTTGGATTAACAGACTTCAGAATAATGAAGATTTTGGATTAACAGACTTCATATTAACCCTTTCACCCCTATGTAACTTTAGTAGACTCTACTATGCATTGACATGTATGAGTCCATTATGGTCCACAGTGGTGAAAGGGTTAATGAAGATTTTGAATGATATACTTTGGATTAGTGTAGATTTTGGATTAACATACTTTGGATTAATGAAGATTTTAACAGTTAACCTAATACCTACCATTATTTAAACTATCTGTTGATGGCCGACTGGACTGACTTTCATGTTGACTTGGTGATGAACGTTTGGCTAGATTGGAAGGATCATAAACGTGGCCTGTGTGTGACACACCCCAAACTGGTACTTCTCCTTCACTAGCCCAATACAGACACTCCATAAAACGTTCATAGTACTGGATCACACCTGGGTTACCTGTTAATTACAAATAATGTATGATCACATCTGGGTCTTTTTTTAATTACAAATACTGTATGATCACACCTGGGTTACCTGTTGATTACAAATACTTTATGATCACACCAGGGTTACCTGTTGATAACAAATAATGTATGATCACACCTGGGTCTTCTTTTAATTACAAATACTGTATAATTACAACCGTGTTACCTGTATATTAAAAATACTGTATGATCACACCTGGGTCTTTTTTTAATTGCAAATACTGTATGATCACAACAGGGTTACCTGTATATTACAAATACTGTATGATCACACCTGGGTTACCTGTTGATTACAAATAATGTATGATCACAACAGGGTTATTACAAATGAGGTAACAGGTTGGGCCATGTCTGAGGGATCTTTCTCTTAACAGATAACAGAAAGATCGACCATTGTCATTGAATAATGGACCAATTCCCTTTAGTGATCTTTCTTATTCTGTATAAGTTTAAAACAGGTACTGTATATTACAAAAAAAACACATCATAAAGCGTATTCTTAAGACAGCATAGACAGGCAGTCTCTATTGACATGTTGTAGTTATTAACAAGCTTTAGTGGTCTGTATATATACAGGTAGTAGTTATAGACAGGTGGCAATTATTGACAGGTGTTCTGTTTAACAGGTGGTCATTAAAGACAGGTGTTCTGTATAACAGGTGGTAGTTATTTACAGGTTGACTGTATATACAGGTGGTAATAACTAACAGGTGGTCCCTATATATACATGTGATAGTTATAGACAGATGGCAATTATACAGGTGGTCATTATTAACAGGTAGTCTCTATAAACAGGTGGTAAATTGAGCCAGGTAGTCTCTATAAACAGGTAGTGACTATAGTCAGGTTGTCTCTGTAAAAAGATGGTAGTTATGGACAAGTTTTACTATATTACTTTTTATGAGATATATTTCTAGATATCCTTCATTTAAAATTCCTTTATCTTATATCAAGATACGCTCTTATTTGCTTTGATACTGATTATTGATGTCAAGTAAATTAGAGTAAATTTAATCGTCATTTTAATTGAGAAAGTTTCCATATACATGTACTTTCAAAACAGAAAATTGTTTTATTTACCTGGGATGATGAGGAACAAAAGTCTGTTGGTGGGCGTGGAAGTCTGGAGCCAATAACCGCACTTAACAATATGTGTTGTCACTCCATTTAGAGGAACAAACTCTCTGGTCCAGGGGACCTCCATTCTACGGGCAGACGACATCTAAGTCCAGTCTGAAACTAAAGGTACACTGCACCAGTCATTACAATTTCCTAAATTCAGGGTAAATTTAAAACAAGTACAGTAACATACTTAACCCTTATAGAGTAAAAGTGGAAATGTATACATGTATACATGGAAATGTTTGCATTATGACTCTTTAAACAGATAACAGTGTGAAAATTTTCGCTTTGGGAACATATCTATATATATATTTGTGTGTTGATATTTTTGCATTTATTTACTCAAAAATACAGAAATTTCCACTTTTACCGTTAAGTGAACACCGGTACAGTAATTGTAGCTTAAGTGACATGGAAACATGTAAATCATATGTAAAGTTACTAGGATCACACTAGCTTTAAAAATTCACATGCCCGATTTTTCCCCAAAGCGTATTTTTTTGCAACCGATTATATATTTATGAGCCAAAAATATTAAATTCCTTTACAAAGCCACAGTCAAAAAAAAAAAAAAATTGAACATTTTCCTTTTGTTTTGATATGTCTTTGCTTTTAAAAGTTGTGCTTTGTATACCATTACTCTATATTCTATTGTTTGTAATACTGAGCTCACACAAAAGAAAATGTCTGTGTCTATTATCTAAGTTATTATAATTCTTATAGATCCATGGTAATGCAAATACATGTAAATTATATAAACCCAAAGTAAAGCAGATAACAGTACAGGTTCAATTAGCCCCTTAAAAGATGGAATAATCACCCTTACTTAAGTGATGGCGACCAGATTTGTGTAGGTTTTGTTAGCTTGGTTTATCAGTGAAATTTGGGAGAGAATCGCTGCTTTGTTAATAACTGCTAAGTTGGTGCTAATTAATGTGTGCATGCAGCGCCACCTAATGGACAATATACATTGGGTGTTGCAAGCCTCTTGCGCATGCATAAGGGGTTTTGGGGTCATATAGCCGTGCACGTTCACAATTCAGTAACTCTGTTTCGGATCAGCAACAAAAAATGGGATAGTTAGGGTTTCTTGTTGATCCGGGGATATTTAAGCTAGGTTAAGTTATATTTCGGGTTGGGGGTAGTCTTTAGATAAATTTCCTCACGTTGTAAGTAGTAGCTTTCTTTCAACGTAAACAAATCTGGTCGTCGGACAAACCTAGTGTTCGTAAATAACTTCGGGTATGCTAAATAAATCTGCTCAGGACGGCAACGGTTGGGGACAACCCATTTCTAGACGTCAGAAGGAACAGACGATAAGGAGAAAAGATCTTTGGTACAGGGGGAAATCTACAGAGAAGAAGAAGGGACCAGCAAAGCAAGGGCAGAGGAAATGGGCTCCCAAGGAGCATTGACGAGATGGAAGCTGCCAGAACGGAAACTTACATAGACAGACCTGTGGCGCTATGAACCATTGAGGATCCAGTTCCTGTTGCGGTCGGTATACAACACTTTACCATTGCAAGCGCTTCACCTTCATCTGTGGGTACTAGTTGAGGAGCTAAAGTGCAAGCTATGACAAGAACGTGGGACCATAGGCCATATATATCCTTTCAGCATGCAAGACAGCACTGACACAGGGACGATACCGGTGGAGGCATGACCAGGTGCTTCAGGGATTGGCAGATGTTCTTGAGGTGGAAAGGAAAAAGAATTCATCCTCCATCTGGTTTGTAAAAGCAGGGGAGAAGGAGACGAAAGCAACATCGGGCAACACTGGCATTCTGGAAGAGGCAGAGACATGGGAGATGAGAGTCGACCAGGGAAAGAAATGGGTGTTTCCAGACGTCGTACAGACAATGCTACGTCCGGATGTGGTGATATGGTCTGCCAAATCCAGGCAGATTATAGTCATCAAGCTGACTGTGCCCCGGGAGGAGTGGTGCGACCAGGCCAACGATAGAAAGAGAGCCAAGTATACGGAGCTCATGGAACAATGTAGGGAGCGAGAGTGGCCTACTTGGCTGTTTCCTGTGGAGGTCGAATACAGAGGGTTCCCAGCATGCTCATGCAGTCTGGAAGACATTGCAGGCTGTGGGTGCATGTGGTGGGAAGACTCGCAAGACGACGGTGCGCAGACTAGCAGAGGCTGCTGAGCGCGCATCATGCTGGTTGTGGAACAGACAGGAGGAGAAAGACTGGAAGCCATCCATTGACGGGCAGTGAGTTGATTGCCACTGTCGACCCACCAACAGGAGGACGTTACGGGACAAGGGTTGAAACGTCTAGAGACTGATGGACCCCGCTGATTATGTCAATGGATTCGCAATATTCCACCAACTGTATAGGCACATAACATCTAGTTAATGTAGTCAATCATAAGGCATAATGCTGACGTCTTTATAACGATAGCCTACCAGCACGGGGTCTTTGAATATGACTTTTGAGAGATTTGGAATTTAGGATCAATTATAGAAAAAGAAATGCATGGCAACACCAGGATTCGAGCCCAGGACCCCCTGAAGCCTCTACTAGCAGGTCCATTGCACTCTGCCGATTGAGCTATATAGCTATAAAGACCTATATAGCTATATACACCTATAAATTATAGCTGTATTGAGCCATATTTTCTCAGATTTCAAATTTCATTAAATTAAAGCAAAGTCGCATAAAACAATAAGGTTAATGGAAATGTTGACTACAAAAAGCATTCATTTAGATGTTTATTTTCATTTTTCATAAATGTAAAATTTCCGATTTCTTTACATCATTATTTTTTTTAAAGAATACTTATATTTAATGTCTTTTGTTATGAACCTTATGATACAATCTTCTTTTAAATGCGACTTTGTTCCGTTTTCCTTAAAAAAGAAAATTACTTGAAAATAGCTCAAAACACCTATTACAGATAGGTCAATAGAGCTATTATAGGTCTTTACAGCTTTATAGCTCAATCGGCAGAGTGTACTGGACCTGACTAGTACCTAGTGTACCCATTAAAATAATTGGCAATTGAGTTACACGTAGATCTACCTGATCGCCCCAGTCCAAAGGTCAGCTCTTAATCTGAATAGGTAATTTCGTTTTGTTTGATAAATATAAGTTATCCGTTACTGCCGTAACAACTTAGTACTAATATTAATACCCGGTCTCCTCTGCCCCGGCCGCAGCTAGTAACAACCCGCCCGGACCGGCATTTTTTTTATCGGTGTTAATATAGATGTGCAAACATAGTGATACGTACTGTCCTTGATCCTCCGGCCTCTAGATCTGTAGTCTATTGGTGCAAAGCAGTAGCTTAGCAAATGTGTCTTGCAAACATATTTTAATCAGCAATCTTAACAATTCTCTGTTTCCTCCCACGGGAACGTGTGTTGTTGTTTCCAATATTGTGTCGGGTCAAGGTTCAAAGTTTCTGTCCCTTACAGCAAAGAAAATAAAGAGAGGTGGCAAATTCATAACGAATATTGCTTGTTATATCTATTAATTATAATTAAATGCGTGTTTTTCGAAAGCTTTCACTGATTAAATATTTTTGTTTGAAAATTTAGGAAAATGTAATTTATTTGTAAATGATTTAAGCGATCTATAGTACAAACCTATCTCCATTTTCTAGAGAGTTACATCACATGTGTACAGACGATTGTCAATGTCAAGTTGGTTGGTTTATGTAACTCAACACACGCCATGTCGACCATTCGATTGTTAGCGAAGATATCCAGATGTGCCTGTCACAACTCCATAACTCATGGATTCAAGGTTCACAATCCAATTAATTATTTTTACATAAAAACAGTCAATGCATTTTTTTTTACATAAGAAAAGTACAATGAATTATGATAGAAGTAGATAAAATCAAAAATTCTTCGCTTTTGTCGGGACTGGATACCTTACGTGAGTTATGTTATAACCTTATGAGTTTCAGGATTCCATATTCAAGTATGCTTATGTCAGGCATAGTTAATTAGAATACAGGACCTTTTTCAGGAATTTGCTGGTTTGATGCAGGGCCAGGAGTTAACAGGTTAAAGCATATTTGAATTGCTGGTTAAGACTATAAATGCTTTGGTTGTTGTGTCGTTATGTGTGGCCATTATTACTGTCGGATATTGTGACCATCATATTTCATACAATTAAAGATAAGATGTTTGGGACTGTTCTTCGTTCTCTCTGTATTTCTGATTTCAAGGATTTCATACTGTCTAAATTGAAAAATGCAAGAAAATCAAAAATACAATTCAAAAGCTATCTCACTTTATCTGTTTATGGTGCTAAATTCATATTGATACCAACTTTTTGAGATACAGATTTTTTTCTGTAAAGTGTATATATATATATAAATATATAGAATTCTACACTTCAGAATAGACTGGGACTTTGACAAAATTGCTAAAATAAAGTAAAAATATAAAATCAGCAACACTCAGAGCACAAAAAGCAAACAAAGTCCAAAGTTGAAATGTTATTCTTAGTGTCGAAATTGTTATAGAATATTGGAAAAAGTTTTTCAAAATACCAATATGTGTCTTCCACAAGTAGTGAAGTACCAGAGCATTGTTACCCCCATGTAACAAGAAAGGAAAAATAGTACATCAAGATTGGGATTTGTACCCAGCACTTAAAAACTTTTGGCGGACGCTCAAACCAATTTCCAACCTAAGTTCGGTAGTATCCCCTTGCCAAGTATAATAAAGCACTAACACCCAGTATTTTCAACAAAGGTTGCATGGTCACAGACACCACTGTAACAGAAGAAGAAAAATGCATGGCCAGCTGACTGGGATCGGAAGTCGGTACCTCCACACTCCTGATAGATGTTCTAACTCCTATTATTGGTTGTCAGCAATTGACTCAAGTCTAGTTCCAAAACATACCTGATACAAACACATACATTATGTACCACAGAAATAAATTGACCTGACGCGCGCGGGGGGATGTACAAAATCAGGGTTTGGTTCCGAACTATTATAGTATCACTGGTCGAGGGACATGTAGGGTCAGGGTTGCTTTCTAGCTTTTCTGTTGATGGACTTTCCTGTTAGCTCAGTGGAAAGAATGACACGCTGAGAATTTTGAGGTCCCTGGTTCCGTCCATGGTAGACGTAATAATTGACACTTATACCCAAATCCTGTTCTATTGGGTATAATTGATAGCATAATGATAGAGGCTAATAAATTAGGGAGTTGAGTTGAAATATGATCATACAGCGTCTTAAATGTAGACTTATTTCATATTTACCACATTGAATTTCAAATTATATTGATGTGGATATAGTGGCAGCAATGCCTGTGTCCACTATTATCCTATTAAATCCTAACGATATTTGTTAAAAATGGTTAACTTATAAAGTCTTGTTTATTTTCATATTTCACAAAACAGATCAACAGCCACAAAAGCCGGAATCTACTGAGTGGTCAAGTTGTCCAGAGAGTCGTATTACATCCTCCTATGGTCAACGGGTCTAGTAATATTATAAAGGTAATTTCTACACATTTTCTACAGGTTGGTAAGTATGGATTGTAGAAAGGTTTTGTAGTACAACCAGTGAAATGTATATGTATGTGTGACGTTTCGATGACTGGTACGGTGCGTACCCTGCTAGCTGTTACCTTCCTCAGAAAAAATTACCAATGAATCAAAGCACATATGTATATGTTTACAACGGTGTGAAATATGTAAAATCAGCATCTATTCTGCTACACTGTAAATATATATATTGCAAGTACACTTAGTTGGTTCGCATGTACAAAGCGGCAGTTCAAACCGACAAATCAATTTGGCTACAGATTTACTTAATGGTTTCTTTAAGCTCACCAAGCCACAAGGACCACAAGTGATCTTATGCCATATGGTACAATGTCTACCATCCATCAGCATCTCCTTTAAAAATCTACTCCTCCTAAACTGTTAAACAGATTTCAACCAAATTTGATGTGAAGCATACATCGGACAAGTGAACTGTATAAAGATCTAGGATGCCCTTAACCCAATAACAGTAGATCTAGAGATCTAGAGTAGAGATCCAAAATGGAGAATTTCAGGTGATTTTTATTAGACTGCTCCTTATAAGGTAATACGTTTTAACAAGATGTTAATTAAAGGACTTGCACTGAACTTGTCTATTACAGATATGCATTATTGAACGCTTAAAACTAAACCAAGAATTCCTGTAGTTTATCTTCTTTATTGACATTTCAGACGGAAGCACAAGAAACGAATAAAGAAAATGAGACGTTTAAGGAAATTCCGTTTTCTAGGAAAGTCAAGCATGCTTTTGGATTTGACAAGGATTTAAGAGTTCCATATAAGGTAGGGTATGAAGTTGTCAGTGGACATGATCAAGCACTATGCATTATGTTTGCGCTGTCTTCGATGTGTTTCAAATTTTCCTTTCAAAATGAAATATGTTTTTGAAATCATTTACAAGTGGCTCTTACAAATTAATGTAGCATTCTTATTTGATGTGTTTCTCTAATAGATATTTCATCTCTATGTGAACCTTTTACCCAAAGTCGAAAATTTCCTCCTTTCTAAATAAATTGTCATTATCGGTCAACCATTTGCCATTTTGAAAAAATGAAATATTGAAAATCTGCTTTTAGAATACTTGGATAATTAAATTGATGGAATTCAATACACTACTGCTAAAACCACGGACTCTTCTCTTTTGTAGGAGTTAGAAATAGCGGGATACAGAGCCTGGTTGAGCATCATTGAATTCACAGATTACCAAGAATTTTGTACAGGTATGTTTGATTTCAGATTTTAGTGAGTTCAATTAAGGTTTGTATAATTTCATGTTGAGTAGGGCTGCAATGATACATTAACATTACAATATGTATCACAATTCTGTGATCACAATACGATACACATAGTAACAGTAGGGCTGCAAGGGTACATTAACATGACAATATGTATCACAATTCTGTGATCACGATACGATACATACAGTAACAGTAGAAGCAAAAAGTGAAAAGGTAGGTTGTATATCTTTAATAGCAATATTACAACTGGAAATAGACTTGGTCCAAAATGGGCATGACTTTACCATTTCACACAATATATGTCCTTTGACGTGCATGCCGAGCTGGAGCTGTCACTCGCCATGTTGGAACGTATATGTGTAGACTAAATTCAGGAACGACAAATCTGGAAAACATTGTAGGTGTATCGTGACCTCCCAAAAACTTTTGTGCATCGTAATACAGTGTATATTTTAAATATCACAATATATTGTGGCAGCCCTAATGTCCACTGACTTTTGGGGACTCAGGCTTTACCTGTCAGACTCAAACAACTTTTTGACAACCCAATATATTTCGGAGTAACGTCCTGGACTCGCATGTTTTTCTTTTTTTTTTTCTTTTTTTACAAAAGTCACTGTGATCACAATTATATGAGAAAAGTTTGGTATAATCTCATTGACAGTTTAGTTAAGGTAAGGGTAACCATTAAGATCAAAATGTGTTTAGTACAATTTAGTGTAATCTCATGATATCACCGGTATTGAAGGTTTAGTGAAATTAGATATGCGTTTTCATCTCATTTCCCTGTGTGTAAGATGGAGCTGTCCAGGGTAAGAAAGGGATGTAAGAAATTTCTATCTTACACCCCATTTCACCTGAAGTGACGTCATAAATTTGGAAATCTCTGATGCGGCAATGCGGAAAAGGCAACACAATGAAATCAAAACAATTTAAGATACATTTACTGTGTACGTTAGAAAAATGTGATTAATTTTTCTACGTTAGAAAAATGTGATTATTTTTTCTGCGCAAACTCAGTTTCCAAATATGGGGTTTGCTAAATGTGGCTGACAGATATGTTTTCATCTTAAAAGCTCAGAGGAAAATTGATATGTTCAAAATGGTAGCCAGTCCAAACGCATTTTCATGGTTTCTGAGCTTATTCTGGTAGTTGGAATGAGAGAAAAGTATTCTTCGACGTCCAAGGGTGTAGGATAGGGAAATTCCACCCTCTCGATTCCCAAATTTGGCAAAAACCTGAAGCTTTTTGAATTTGAAAACCCCTCGGTAGGAATTTCCCTATCTTTCACCCTTGGGCATGAAAGAGTCTTATACAGTATATATAATCCTACATTGTAGAAAAGGTTCTTGTAGCACAACGAGTTAAGTGCTTATGTGTGACATTTTGATTACTAGTAATGTGTGTAATCTAGATCTTCGTAAGACAAATGACCAATGAAGCGTATGTATATTAGGTTGTAAAGGTGTAAAATACACATGTACAAGTTGGCAATATAAAATTAACGTTGATTTGACAACACTATAATTTATGTAAATGTAATAGTTATACATGTACAAAATGATTAACCTACCTTTTCGGTAAAGATAACTTAGCAGCATAATATTCTTAAGGGCCACATATGGTGGCTGAGTGGTTTAGGCATCTGACAATTTGCTACCACTAACCCTCCACCACTTGGTTGTGTGTGCGAGACCTCTGTAGGGCAGCTAGTCACAAGGTACTGGTCGCAGGTTGGTGGTTTTTCTTCAGGTTCTCTGGCTTTCCTCCACCACAAAACCTGGTACGTCCTTAAATGACCATAGCTGTTAGTAGGATGTAAGACACAAACAAACCAAACCAAACTTAGTGATTGAATGTGAAAGGCAAAATTAACACAAGGTGAATATAGATTTTAGTGGCACTGGGTGAAAATGTCCATTGTTGTGTACATACCTTGAATACATAGGTATATATTCTAATGCTGGCCAGTCCCATCATCGGGTGGATGGTCCTCCTTCGTTAGACGTTTCGGCTCTTATCCGCGACGTCCTCCAGAGGTGCGCCAACTGGGTTGATCAGACCCAGCCAGGGACTGGTCTGCTCTCGCTGCTGCTGGTTGGTGTTGCAGCTTGCTGCCATGTTGTTGCTGCAGCCTCCTGCATCATCCATCAAGTCTTGCCATGTCCCGTGTTGTGGCACCGTGTGACTAGCACTGTTGTCGGTCTACTACTACTTCTACTCGTGTTGGAACAACAAAAATAACTGAATTTCAACTCGGGTGACTGTTAAGGTCCGTATTTGTTTATGAATGCTATGTTTTGTGATTTCAGCCTTAGAACTGCCCGACACATTCAATACCTGGTACCTTATGGTGGAGCTACATGTGTGGTAAGTCAAAGACTAATCTGCCCAATGAGGGTGTGACAGAGATATCTCCTACCCTGGACAGGTGTATCCACACTTGTACCAGTGTGAGATTAATAGAATCTATCACCCCCTTGGGGGTGAGATAGGGGAATCTCATCCCGAGGGGGAGAGATTCTTAAGTTGCCAAACATGAGGCTTTTCTGAGTGTTTGGCAACTTCAGAATCTTTCACCGAGGGTTGAGATTCCCCTATCCTACCCCCAAGGGGGTGAATGGTTCTTTTTCTCTTACCATGTTCCCCAATGTGTATCATATATTCACAATGAAATGATTACGTGACGTTGATGGATTGTTGCCGTGACATCATTGTATTGTTGAAGTGACGTCATACCATTGTTATGAATAGGGGAATCCCCCCGTCTCAACCCTAGGGTGAGACACGGATATCTCACACCAGTTAAAGTGCAGATACACCTGTCCAGGGTAAGAGAAATCCTTGTCTCACCCTAAGGTTAAGACGGGGGGGGATTCCCCTATTCATACCAATGGTATGACGTCACTTCAACAATACAATGATGTCACGTCGAACAATCCAGCAACGTCACGGCAACCCTGAATTTAGCCTGTGACGTTGACAGAACAGTATGTATATGATACACAATGAGAGATAGGGGAATCTCAACAAATGAGGAAAGATTCCTAAGCTACCAAAACACTCTGTAAAGCCTTGTGTTTGGCAACTTAAGAATCCCCCCTCAGGTTGAGATTACCCAGTCCTCCCCAAGGGGTTGAGAGATACAATTAATCTCCAACTGTAGTGGTGTTTATTTGGTTGTTTCACCCACGACAGAGCGTCGGGGTTAAACAACCAAATTTATCGCCCCTCGGGACAGATATTTCTCTGTCAGTGTCAAACCCTCAGGGTAGGGGATGGTTATCTTTTCCCATCATGCCGATACCATGTTTAAAAGCAATTGTTTTCTGCATCTGTTATTTGTTTGCTATACTGATATGTACATTGACCTCTTCTGTCAAGAGCTGATTATGAAACATATTAAATTTTTCTAATGATGTCAAACCTTTTAGTTTTGTTTCTTTCTGCGTGGGGGTGACAGTCAAAGGTGGGAAGAAAATATAATTTTGTGTCTTTAAAAATTGGAATAAGTTGATTAAAATTTTTGGCCTATATTAAATTTGCCAATTTGTTCAAGATGGTCATAAGTTCAACCCACAAAATTGTCTAATATTACAGTAAACCTGAAATATATAATCATTTTGTAGTTTATTTGTCAGAGTTCAATATTTAGTGTTGTTTTGTGTATGCTTGTCTAACACACAACAGCCATGTCCAGGGAAGGGTCACTGTGTAGTGTAAGTGACTGGCCTGTGGTGTAAGACCTCTCAGTGACCAAAGTCAGTGTGAATCCATGTAGCTATTGCTTCTGCACCAGGATTGCGTATGTGCCAACTCTCCCTAGGAAGGAGCTAGACTCCTAATTTTGGACCCTTAAATTAAGCATTTTCAATCAGTGAATTTGCTAATTTATTACAATATTCTAGGACCTAATTATTTCATCTGAAAGAACAATTCAAAATATATATCATTTAAAGGGTTACTTCTTCTCCTTGGGATATATATACACACATTTTATTAATGTTTTACTTTTGAGCATGCAGAATCTCCCCCATGGAAATATCAAAAACTTGGCAAGTATATATGGCCGGATTGACCAAAATATTTTTCTTTTCTTGAAATTCATGAGAAATGTGTCCCACGCTGTAAGGCATATTTCTGGAGTTATTTTTCGTGAGTCTTGCATGCACGCTCAAAAAGTTATACATTGCATGTCTGTAATGATAATTAGAACATTGCAATTATAGCCGACAGAGTCGGAAAAAAATCCTCGAAGATGGAACTCTTCAATAGCTATAATTATATTTTTAATACTCTTTGCCTTAATTCAAGTTTATAACTTATTATTAGTTGTTAAGTAAAGTTTAATAATCAAAATGATTCTGTATCTCTTGCCAGGATTATCATGACACGCCTGATTTTAGAAGGAGTAGAAGGAAGATACTTCAGGAATGTCCTAGTGTCGATGATGTGGAAGGATGTAGAATCTCGAATGCAAGAGGTTGAGGTAAACGTTGACGTGTTTAAAATCACAGATTTTGGTTTCTCTATTTGTGAGATGGAGCAACCTTGGTTGGCCATGAGGTTTCAAATGACACCAAATTTAAAGGACTCAATGTGGTATAAACTCTAACACCCCTGAAATTTCTTAATGAACCTTTCCAACCTTTGAATTGGAAGAGTTCAAATGTGTCTTCAGGGGTAAATGAGTTGACAGAGTGTACCGCTACACACCCTCCCCCCCCC